AGAGCACCATAGCTGTAGCTGTTCCCTCGGCGCGCCTCCGTCTGAGCTCGCGCTTACAACTCCGCTCCAGCTCTCAACGTACGGCCGTGACGTCAGCACAGACACTGCTCGTGCTCCTGGGTTCTATTTACTGGATTCTTCGACGACGCGCATGCGGGACCCTTTGTCCGGAGCGTTTACGTTTGAAGATATTGTATACCCGCGAAGAGGGACCACTCTGTGTTTTATTGGGAGCGTAATAAAACACGGCAGCGATCGTAGAGCCAGAATTATCTTTATTTTTTAGTTTGTGCACACAAACAAGGAATTTGACTCCGGCTCACTTTGATTTTCATCATATAAAAAAAAAACCGTTATTTACAGCATGTTGAAAAGCAACACACATAGTCACATTACATGCAGAAAGTGTGTATACTTGATTGTAATCTAATCTGCTGCTGGGTCTCTTTCACTCGGCAGGAATTGCGGCTCCTAAAACACACCAAAAACACCTGTTCAATTAAGAAAAATCATTTCACTTTGATCTGTGTCAAACCGAAGTCATTTCCACATTTCCAGCCTGTGGGACTGTAAGCTTTCATATTTAAATTATCCAATTTAAAGTTTTACAGCACTAGAATAAAGATTTTCTCCAGCATTAATTTCAATTCAATTCAATTTTATTTATACAGCGCCAATTCACAACAACAGTTGCTTTAAGGCACTTTATATTGTAAGGTAGACCCTACAATAATACATACAGAGTGTGTATGTGTGTATATATATATATATATACACACATACACACTCTGTATGTATTATTGTAGGGTCTACCTTACAATATAAAGTGCCTTAAAGCAACTGTTGTTGTGAATTGGCGCTGTATAAATAAAATTGAATTGAATTGAAATTAATGCTGGAGAAAATCTTTATTCTAGTGCTGTAAAACTTTAAATTGGATAATTTAAATATGAAAGCTTACAGTCCCACAGGCTGGAAATGTGGAAATGACTTCGGTTTGACACAGATCAAAGTGAAATGATTTTTCTTAATTGAACAGGTGTTTTTGGTGTGTTTTAGGAGCCGCAATTCCTGCCGAGTGAAAGAGACCCAGCAGCAGATTAGATTACAATCAAGTATACACACTTTCTGCATGTAATGTGACTATGTGTGTTGCTTTTCAACATGCTGTAAATAACGGTTTTTTTTTTATATGATGAAAATCAAAGTGAGCCGGAGTCAAATTCCTTGTTTGTGTGCACAAACTAAAAAATAAAGATAATTCTGGCTCTACGATCGCTGCCGTGTTTTATTACGCTCCCAATAAAACACAGAGTGGTCCCTCTTCGCGGGTATACAATATCTTCAAACGTAAACGCTCCGGACAAAGGGTCCCGCATGCGCGTCGTCGAAGAATCCAGTAAATAGAACCCAGGAGCACGAGCAGTGTCTGTGCTGACGTCACGGCCGTACGTTGAGAGCTGGAGCGGAGTTGTAAGCGCGAGCTCAGACGGAGGCGCGCCGAGGGAACAGCTACAGCTATGGTGCTCTGTTCTTCTTCGTGAGGACGAAATCAGCCAATTTTATTCTCGTTGACGTCTTTTTCTCCGTCTTCTCCGCGACGTAAACAAGCCGTCGGACATTTTGAAATCGCTTCGGGGATACAATATGTCTTCCACGGCGGTCGCTGCCTCCAGAAGGCAGTCCTGCTATTTATGCGATCTGCCCCGCATGCCGTGGGCGATGATCTGGGATTTTACCGAACCCGTCTGCCGTGGTTGTGTGAACTACGAAGGTGCCGACCGGATTGAATTCGTTATCGAGACTGCCAGGCAGCTAAAGAGAGCACACGGCTTTCAGGAGGGCCGCTCTCCCGGCCCGGGGAAGCCCCAGCACGCCGGGAAAGAGATCAATCACTCGGTTGGGGACCTGGGCTCTCGTCCCCCTCAACCTCTGGATCGTTATCCGCTGTCAGACAGGCCGCCGCGGCTGGGCCCGGAGTACCAGGCGGGCAGGCAGGCGAACGGCCTCCCGATGCCCAACGGATTTCCCAAACCCGACGAGCCCCCTGAGCTAAACCGCCAAAGCCCCAACCCCCGCAGGACTAGCACGGTTCCTCCTAACTTGGTGCCTTTGGTAAACGGCGCGATACCTGCCATACATCCACTCAGCGGCCGCCCGACACAGATCTGTCTGCCCGGCGCTCTGATCGCGCCTGTCCCCGGGGAGCACGGCAAGCGCCCAGAGGAGCTGAAAGACAAGCACCGGGCGGACAGCATGTCGGACATGTCGGACAGCCACAAGGACTGGATAAACAAAGGCAAAACTGTCAGGGACCTGATGCTGCACACGTTCGACGGCAGGGTAAAGAAGGACCACACCGCCATGCAGCGGGTCATGGCGTACGAAATGAGTGGCACTTCCTCAAAAACAGGTAGGCTGTTTGTTTTGTGTCTGCACTAGAATGTGGTGAGCTGGCACGCGCCATGAAAACGGGAACTAATGTGTCAGCACTTCACACACGGTGTGTCGTGGATTTACGCCATCGTGACGGGTCCGCCCAGCCACGCTGCTGGCATGCACCCGTTCACCTCTTGTGTGAGACAGCAGTACGAGAGCAGGTGTGTGTGTGTGTGTGTGTGTGGTTGTTGGGGGAAGGGTGTTTAGAAATTTCCTGCCTCTTGTCTGCACAGGCCGGGATGTTAGCGTGGCTGTTAACCCTGCTGCTTTTCCTTTGCACAGACAGAGGGAAGCACCCTCGGCCTGGGAAGAGGAAGGCCTCCCCTGAGCCAGACTGTGAGAGCAGTGTCCCCAAGATGAACGGCAGTGAGGGCCAGCCATGGCTCCCCTCACCCTCTGAAGTCCTGAAGATGCCCCCAGCAGCCCTGCCAGGCTTCTCTGCAGCGCCTCCATCAACCATTTCCCCCCACTCCCGCACCACACCACCTGAGGCTGCCACAGCGCAGAATGGCCAGTCTCCCATGACTGCACTCATCCTCGCCACCGATAACGCAGGCAGCACGGGCTCACCTAAGGACGGCAGCCAGGTACATTCCACCATGGCGGGGGCACGACGGAACAGCGGGAGCCCCCTGTCACCCTCACAGAGGAGGTTGGCCCAGAGAGAGGGGCCTGTGAGTGCCAACCCCTCTGCTCCGCATGGTCCCGGCAGTATGGAGCCACCGCCACAGAGCATTCCGGATTCCTCTGTGCCGCCGGGCAGCGTGCCGCTGTGCTGCACTCTGTGCCATGAGCGGCTAGAGGACACTCATTTTGTCCAGTGCCCTTCAGTGCCCTCTCACAAGTTCTGTTTCCCCTGCTCCCGGGAGAGCATCAAGCAGCAGGGGGCCACCGGCGAGGTGTACTGTCCCAGTGGTGAAAGGTGCCCGCTGGTTGGCTCCAATGTACCCTGGGCCTTCATGCAGGGGGAAATAACCACCATATTGGCCGGAGATATAAAGGTAAAAAAGGAGCGGGACCCTTAAAAAGTTCTCCGACTGCTTCTCGTGAACTTGTTTCCCTCTTGTAACCCAAGTATGGCAACAACAGCAGGACATAAAGTAACAGACACAGCTCACCCAGCAAGCCTCAGAGGAGCTGGCAGACATGTACATAGTGAACACAGGGGAGTGTATACTTCATAAATGTGGCTGTAAAATTTGACTTCTTTCTTTAATACATTGTGTTTCTTACTGTGTTTCCAGTAAGACTTTTCCTTTTTCCCACCACAGCTGTTTCTTCTCAGTCTGTCGTTGTACTTTAGGTCTGCAGACAGTCCCTGTCGAGCATAGAATGTGACTAATTTGAGCACTTGGCAAAATCCTTTAATAAATGAAACAAAAAATGCTTCTAGCTGTACATGTATGCACTTGCCAAATACAGTTTCAGACCTTGTAATAATACCCCCAGTGTCTCTGTGGTTTGCTTATTTTCCATTATCCTGGAGTTGGTCGGAGAGTCATGGCCTGATTGTGAATCAGCCATGATGCAATCCCTCCCAGCAGGAACAAATTGGCTTCCAGGGAACAGTGGGTGGAAGGGAAAAGTCAGGGAGCGAGGGAGATGGAGGAGGGGGGATGAAGGCCGCAGTAGAAGTGCGTTGCATAAATGCTGTGTACTGTAAATCGCACGTGGGTGAGCCGAGGCTGCTCAGCGCTGAGGCCTCGTGCCCCATGAGTGCGGGGGGAGATAAGGAGGGCCTAAAAATAGTCACCGTGGCTTCAAAGTGACGCCCGCTCCGGCGTTTGTTGATGTCAAAACAACTGCCTCACATGTCCTGTTTGGGCACTTTGTCTGGATCTAGAGGTTTTCTCTTTGCTTCTCCTCCATGCACCCAAATCAGCCTGACATCTCGTCAGATGCTGGCAGCAGATCAGAGCTGTTGCTGACTGAACACACCCTGATTCCAATGGAAGCACATGGGAGACGTGAGGTCATGAGCGGCGGAGGCCCACTGGGACTGTTAGCGCAGGAACCGAGCGATCAGCCCTTTGCTTTCCTCCTCCTTTCCCTTCTCTCTCCTCACGTTACACCCTCTGTCACGCTGTCAGGATGACGGAAATACCTCAGGGCTCTCTTTTCTGTTTCAGACAGGCTTCGTTCTCCACAACAAAGCGTCTTCATCAGACAAAATGGCTGCTGTCAGAGCGGATTTGGACGAACCTTAAATCCCCCCACGCTCTCGCCCCCGTGTCACCGACGTTTATTTGTCTTATTTGCTTTGCTTTTACTTAAACGTGTATATCGAAGCGTCGTCTGTGGATACTCTCTCGCTGTCACGTTTGACTGCTTTGACTTCAGGAAGAAAATAAGGAGGGGGCCCTGCTTCAGAGTAGGGGGGTGGGAGTAAATGCCTTGCTCAGGGGTCACGTGCTCCTTAGTGGAATTCCTGAGTCACTGTCCTCCCTCCCTCCTCTTCTAATGTCTCCTCCCCCCTACTGCAGTAACTTTTCAAGGCTGCTGAGCGCACAGACAGATGAATGGGGGCCTGTATGTGTTTATGCCAGGACACCGTGCAGGGAGGAAAACGTTAACCCTTCCCCAGCTTTCTCCCTCCACAGACAGCGTGTTTAGTTTTATCCTGCAGCACATTTAAAAGGAATGCAGTTTCCTTCCTGGTAGAGCTGTATCTGTGCTGGAGGGTAGACTGTTCTTTCAAACTTTCCTGATTGTCAAACTTCCATTTTTAAATCAAGATTTTCAGGACATTTTATATCACAAACATCTATAACTTGTTTTTGAATGTCCTAAATGGGCTTAAAGAGGTTTTATAATAATTGCGTGCTGTGCTGAACTGCGATTAAATCAGTCCAGGTCAGCAGACTAGTAGGTCGGTGGTGGGTTTGGTTATGCAATGGCTCTTTTTCTTTAATGAAATTCCTCTTACTTTGTAATCAGCAGTAGACAGGCTTTTACACTCCTGTCAGTCTGTCACTGGGACTCGCAGACAGCCTCTTAGGTCTAACAGAGTTCATATGAGTCACAGTTATTTGATACTTAGTGGTAATGAGGAACATCACGCTTCTGCATCACTCCCGCGTGTAGTGGGGAAACCTGAAGTAACATTTAATGCCTTGCATTAATATCATGACCAAAGTAACCTCAGGATTCACTCATGTGCTTCTCATTGCACCTTTAACATTTTACAAGTTTGTCATCAAAGTATAGTTCAATGAATGCAAGTACTTAAAAAAGAGGTCAAGTAAAGACTGATAATTTCAAATTGTGTTCCAGTACAGTAGTACAGGTTTCATCCTGTCAGCAGGGAGAATATTGCTTTTTTAAAATCAGAAACACTTGGAGATGTGCAGCGACAGTTACCCAAAACCCAGTTTTTGTTCTGTCAGACGGACAAGTTCACAGACTGATAACAAAGCAACACTGATGTCAGTTTGTAATGATTTGTTTTCTTAAATTTTAATATATTATTCATGTTAAGATTGGTGTCAGGTCTGTCACTTCACTCTGTGATTTGGCTGCTGAATATGGAAGCTGCTGTTTGACTTCAGTAGTGAATGAAACCTAACAACCCCCCAAAATAGAGACTTGTTAAAGTTTTTTGCAGATAATGACGCTTCCCTTTTCACAGTCCTGAAACCAAACAGTAGCCTTTGAGTTAAAACTACTCGGACTTCCTCCAAGTTCTGGAGAGTCTGGATTATTCTTCAGTGCTTCGTGCAACACTTTCACTTGAATGCATTTTTAGTTTTTCTTTAGCAACAATTGTTCCTATTTTTGTTGGCCTGTAAGGTTGTGATAACATGCCAGTTAAGACCATAATGAAATGTTTACAATTAACTTTCAGATTTGTGAAAGTGAGTCGTATCTGTAAATGCTTAAAAATAAACTTCAACCCGACCACACCAGGTGAGGTTCAGCTCAGACCTTCGGCCTGTGCTACGAAGAAACAAATGTAGAGTAAGTGATTATTAACTCATTGTGAGGTCATACCGTGCAAAGGTTTATTATACTTCTGAGAATTTCACACTTTTAAGTTGCAAAAAGTTGATTACTGTGAACTTGAAAAAGTTCTAACGGAACAATCCTGAATCGGAGCAGTCTTTGGTTTGTCCTCCATCTTCAAAATAACACCAAACCTTTCAAGGTACTTTTAAGGATTTTAAACTTGCCACAGCTCTTCTGTAAACTCAGGCAGTATCAGTACCTCCTGTCTCTTCATGATGCTGGACTATTATCTCTATGGGGATCTTCCTCTTCTTGTTCATCTTTTCCAGGCTCTGCCTGTTTACGCTCATTGTTTTATGTACAAATTAATTTGGGAACATCTACAGTATCTGAAAGTTTAGTCACAGTGCTGAAATATTTAAAGGAAACTTCCACACAGTGCTACTTGGTAGCTCCTTGTGTTATTGTCAGTTATGCCAGCCTTATGTTGCAGAAAAAATCTACTTGCAGAGTGGGAGCCCTGCCTCGATACAAAGGCCCTTCAGCCTACGGATCCTTTTGATGTCTTTCAGCCAATCGGATGACCATATCAAAATAGATCCAAAACTCCGCCCTCTCTCTCAGGATGGTTCATTTTTGGCACGAGGTCGGCCTCAGATTCCAGGCGAACCAGCCCCGTTTTTTTTCATCTGTCACAGAAACTCAACACCCCAAGGGCCCGAAGAGCCAACGGCCCGAGATTAGTGGGTTTGCTCAAATTACGTGGCGCACACAGGAGAAAAACTCTGGGTTTCTCTCTCCTCCTGTCTCCTTCTCTTCACTCTGTTTGTTCAGCTGTTCCTCACCCAAAGCTCAACCCCCTCCAGCACCAAACCGCCTCTTCTTTCCTGACTCTGAAGTCCAGGATAAGGCTGTTGTCTTGATTTTACATCTGCAGAACAGCAAACACACCGAGAGCAGGAACAACAAACCTCAGCTCTTCACACCTCCGTGAACACTGCCAGTGACAGTAGCTTGGATAAAAAACACTGTGCCATGCAGCTATTTTTAATAGGTAGGAAACTCTACCTGCAGGGCAAATAAAGAGACTTATGATGCTTGGAAACTAGGTCATAATCGAGTGAAAAAGACAGCTCTGTGATCTTATATATAAAACATATGAAAGCTGTTTTTAACTTTGAAGCTTTGTGGTCTGTCCAAGCTGGAGTCAAACTGTGAAGTATAGTATACAAAATAACATGGCAGTGAGCTTTTACTGGATTCACATTAACATTACAAATGACTTAAGTAAGTCATTTACACAACAGTGATTCATTTTATGTTATTTAGAAGCAATCATTATGATGTAAACTGGTCAATAGTAGTTGTTGGTGGTGGAATGCTGTTTATATCCACTTATTATTGGTCGTAAAGGTCAGGAACATTTTTTTAATGATTTTCTTAAACTGTTGTTTTCCAGGGTGAAATGATTGTACAGTATTCATGTTTAATGACTTAAAAAAACATGAGTCATGGTGAAAAGCTTTTAGCATAATTTTTGCTGGATATTTGACCACTCCTCTCGACGGAGTTGTTAGCGTTCATTTAAAGTGGTTGGTTTCTTGGTTCGAGCCGGCTCAGCCCTACTTTCAACAGGGTTGAGGTCAAGATCTTGGGAATTCCATTCCAGAAGCTTAATGTTAGCCTGCTTTATCCTTTCCAAAACCATCTTTAATGTGTATTTGGTATCATTGTCCCGTTGGAACTTCTCATTGTATCCCAAGTCTCAAACTGCACATTTAAGGTGAAGCTGAAGAATGTTATTTCATAACGTATCTACTGGGATACAGTTGAAGCTTATAGAGAGGGGGGTATCTGCTTCAAGTGACAGTGTTTCTGTCTACTAGGCCTCACCACTTGTTGGATTTTTCACTGTAGTGGATCTCTTAATTGTATTTTTTGCTGCTGGTGAACTTTTTGAAGCGTTTTTAAAGTAATTATCCTCCAAGAAGTTTGTGCTTCAGTTTTGGTGAGTATAATTCCAGTATGATATTATTCCGTTACCCACCAATTAACCAATACGTCTGTCTGTGAGACAGTTTGCCTCAGCCCAAGGCCCAGAGAGGAAAGCAGCATTTCTAAATGTCATGTGTATAATAGCTTGCATTTGTATTCACTCACACAGGTGAAATAATAAAATGAACAAAAGTAGTTTTGTAGTAATTCTGTGGAGCAGCAACTGAAAATAATTTTTAAAAACTAATTTTAAACGTCCAGTTCTCTGAGAACTCGGTCCTTGCTAGTTGCCTAATTTTGTCAACTAGCAGCTAAATATTAGCAGTAAGTGTTGACATCAACCCCATGCTGATGTGCTGTGCTGGCTTTAGGGTGAGCTTGGGTTAACCATGTGCTCCAGGGTCATTGTGTCCAAATGAGTTGTTTGTACATCCAGGGCTGGGGCCTCTCTTCATTTAGACTGTGTCCAGATCCTAATGCTGTTCAAAAGGTCAATCAGTCCCCGCGTGAAAAATGACCCGAGCTTAGACCAACATGCTGCTGTCACACAATTCGTTGGTCAGGCCCCCACCGCGTCAGCACTTTCCTGTGTACCCTGGGGCATTACAGACCACCCCCACATCCTTACCTCGTGGCACATACACACATTGTGTTCTGTCAAAATAAAGGCCTGAATTCTTCCGTTTCTTTCTTCTGCTGTGCTGCGTTTTTCCAGCCCAGGCTGCCATTTCAGGTAAACCTTTTCTTCATCTTTGGTATTAGTGAAAAACATGCATGAAAACAAACATTTAGATTAAGAAAATAAGAATACATATAAATACTAAAGGTAAAACAGAAATGCTAATGTAAGATGTAAGAAACTAATGACACAAATAAAAGTTAGAATAAAGGTCAGAAGAAATGTGACGTCAATTTGTAGAATCAGCAAAAACATCGGAAGACATTTGTGTCAGAAAAGACAGTTTTGTTTTAGTTTTTCCACAAGTCAAACTTTTCTTTGTTGTTTTTTGTTTTTTTTTTAGTTGGTGTTTGGCGATTTTTACTTGGTAAAATTTAGGAAAAGCTAACAAGAAATAATTAGCAATGCACTGAACCACTGCAGCTCAATCACCATGCAAAAGCAAACATACTTCACAACCTCTTCCCCATCATTCCAGAGAAAGGTTGGTCACCAAACTTCTAAACAACACAGTGTTTAGAAGTTTGACTTCGTTTTTCTTGGTTATTAATGTGTTTTGCAAGTTTTTACAAGTCCATGCACTGATATCCACTAGAGAAGATCACAGCCTTTCAGAAATGGTTTCTGGTTGTATTTCTTGCATATAAACATTTCTTGTTACTAGCTTGTAAACATTAGCCTGTAGCTAAAGTTGTCCACCCACACAAAAAATGAACACAGTTGTGATTAGTTGCCTGAAAAGGATCAACAATGAAGACAACATCATCTTTCTGAGAAGATGGATGTGAATCAATAGTAAAGCTCAACATTAAAACTTATAGACCTCTCTGGTGAAAGTACTCCATTGCTTACAGCAGACTTTCACTTCCCAAGAAATACATGTAAGTAGAATCAGTTCTGTATGTTTTTCAATAGTTGAATGATTGTTACTGCTGCATGATATTTGCATACAAGTAACTACACGCACATGGGATCAGCTGTCTAGTTAAAAGTTTCACTTTGCCAGAACTTTATCTTTAGATATCAAGTGTGTTAGAAACCAACAATAGATTTAAACTCCCAAAGTTTAACATAGCATCTGTAAAACCTGTCAAAATCATAAAAGGGGGGAATGTGTGTGCTCAGGTTTTTTCAGGTGGAGTTTTTTCTGTGGAAACACAAATGGAAAGGGACCAGTCTCACTCAGCATCCAAAGTGCTTTTACAGCTCATTCACTCAGGCAACTGTCAGTGTAAATAGTTGGCACTATATGAAGAGAATTGAGTTGTTTACATGGCACTGCAAGAGCTTTGTCCATCTTACTAACACACCCACAGCTAGTTTAAGAATCATCAATTAACTTAACAATTAGCAGTTTTCTAAAATACTTTGTTTTTGCTGACAGTCATTGTTTGGATTGATGTGACTCTAAATAAATAAGCTTGTTAGTGCCACAACAGTTACTTTTCTTTGGTTTCACTTCATCTGAATCTTGCAGCCCCAAAATCCCCAAAAGTTTCTACTACAGCGGCAGAAAAAGAAGATAGCGAGAGAGATGAAGATGTGAAAGGTGTGTGATGTTTCCTGGGGTTGCAGATAGACACTGCCATCTAATTTTAGAGAGTGCAGCTGCTGTTTGATCCACCAAAGGATCCTGTGCCTTTAATCAGCAAACACCCAGCAGTGAGCACCAAGAAAGGAACACAGTGTTATGTTGACTCTGTATCTGGAAAAGAGGTTTACAGAGCAAAGCCCAAATATAGCAGCTAGTTCTCAGAGCCGCAACCCTGTTGCCTGGATATCCCTGCTGGAAAGTAAACAGAGGGGATGTTGGATTTGCCACGTCAATGAACTGGCAGGAAGTAAAGGCCACACTGAGGGGGGAGGGGGAGGCAATCTCTTTTATTAATGCTGAAACTTTATAACCTGGGAACAGCAGGCTGGACTGTTTCCTGGCTGGAGAGGGAGTTTTACAGTAGAGCTGTGTTTAGAGGCAGTACGCACCTTATCTGGCACTTTTATTACAAAGCACAGGGAGCCAACCAAATGTGATATTGATGACATCACCCTGCAGAGATACAGAAAAGTCTCTGCAGGTTGAAAAAACACACAAATTAAAGGACAAAGGAGAGCTGTGTCATTCAGAGGAGACTTGTGAGTTTCTGTAAGTAGAATGGGAGGCAGAGCCAGCTCCCAGTTTGGATACGGGTTAAAACTTTCCTTTTCAAATAAGGCTTGAAGACTTCCCATGATGAACTCTGTATCTGTTTATACACTGCTAATGCAGCTCATTAAATCATGTCTTCTCTGTCCCACAGTTGTCTTTTGTCCGTCTCCCTGTGCTCCCGCTTTATTCTTCTCTCCTCTCCCAAACTGGTCGCAGCAGATGGCCCCGCCCCTCCCTGAGCCTGGTTCTGCCGGAGGTTTCTTCCTGTTAAAAGGGAGTTTTTCCTTCCCACTGTTGCCAGGTGACAGATTTTGATTTTCGAGGTTTCCTCTAACATTATTACTGTTACCTTTCAGTACTAAGCACCTTAACCCTCCTGTTATGTTGCGGGTCAGATTGACCCAGAACAGAAGAGATGTCACATGTCATCTGCATCACTACAGAAAATGAAAAAAATCAAAATTATAAAAGAAAATTGTAAAATAATCAATGCCAGTGTTTCTGACACTTTTGGATGAGTAAATTTGCCCCGGGTCAAATTAACCCAGGAGCATAATTGGTGTTCCTGGAAACCAACATAACAGGAGGGTTAAGGCAACTTGTATGATATATAAATAAAATCTAAAGAAATATTACTCACTCACCGCTGGTGCTGTGCTGTACCTGCTGTTTCAACACCTCTGCCACCTTATTATCCACCATTTAATGTTGATTTATTGAAGTATTTAAGTTCCCAATTTTATTTACAACATATTTTTGGAGAGTGACAAGCTCACTGTTAATTGTTAATTGCCCCTTGGGGATAAATAAAGTCTTTCTGATTCTGCCTCGATACAAACCTCATTAATTATAGTTAAACATTTCAAAGACATTACAAAGACATAATAATTAATAAAGTCTGGTTAAATATATCATCCTGGGTTAGGTCATCCATGTTGCTAATCATGTTTAAACATTAATTTTGATCATCAGCTTTCACAAAGAGAAAATCACACTTTCCCTGATCCAAGGAGCATCCCATTTTTCTTTTGTCAAATTTACCCTTCCTTGTTTTTTAATCTGCTTTTGGGCTAATGTCTCGGAGATGTGCTTTTTAAAGGGGAACACTCCCATCCTTCCAGCTCTCTGTTTAGCCTTAGCTTTGAGCATTAACTTTTAAGTACACTGTGGTTTGTGCTGTGCAGGGCGGAGCTGGGCTCTCGGCTGTGTTTGGAAGGCCTGGATCTTCTTCCTCAGATCTGCTTTGTAATTAAATATCCCCCACAGCAGCACAGGGCCACTTAAAGAAGGGGAAGAGCCGTTTCCCTGCCAGCCTTCCTCTGTTAAATGTGTAACAGCTGCTCAGCACTTTCATCCTTGCTTGCTTAATATTTAGTTTGTTTTTAAAATCAGAGCCGACCTTTGATCCTCCACCCTCGCCTCCAGGCAGTTCTATATTTGATCTGCTAACGTCAGCATGCTTCCTCTTATCTACACTTTCACAAGTAACGCTAAAATCTGTTTATGTCATTTGTGTATTGAGGAGTCACGGGGTTTTCCTGAGGCTTCTTTTAGACTGCTCTCCACACGGCTGAATGAATAAGATGTTTTGTATTGTAACCTGATTTAGAGCCTATGTGCAAAATAAAATTATGAAGATGACTTTCAAAGGAGACTAAGAAAAAGATATTTTGAAATTTAAGCAAAATATGTTAATTCCATAGCAAACTTATGCCATGCCCTACTTTAAAGCAGGAAAAATCCCTGCGAGACAAACTGGAATAATTAGGGCACTAAAAGTGTGGAGGATCCATTGTATCCGTGTAATAATAATTACTCCAATTGATCACGCTAAACATGCTCAAAAAGTCTTGAAACGTTGCACACACATGTGTAAATGTATGTGTTTCATTGGTTTTGGACATGGATGTTTTAAAACGGCTCTAGAGCGCCACCCTATGCATTGATTTTGATGGATTTTATAATTAATCAGTGTAAACTACAGTTTGTATCGTGGGGCGTTTCCATGGCGCCACAGTGAAATTCAATGATAAATCGTAATTTTCTGTCAATCACACATACATCGTCCAATCCGGACCAAACTTTTCACATGTGATAATGACTGGCTTTTACATTTCAATACAACATTTGAAAATGGGCACAGCGCCACCTGGTGGAAAAACATAAAATTACATGTTTTACACTTTGAGGTACAGCAAGTGAATGACCCAAGAAAGGGGAGGGAGACGAGGAACCATCATGGAAGGACAGGCCCCTGCACGGTATGTACCACCGGCAGATAGAGGAGGTGGCTGATATCCAGAAATCCTA